GGGGCACCCACACCTCGGACAGCAAGCGTTTGCCTTCTCGCTGGACAGAAACCGTCTCCCGATCAGAAGAATCTGCTGGTCACTGACCAGGTTCTGTGCGCTGTCACCTACACTGACAGAGTGGAAAACTGTCAGAATGGACGGCCAATAGTCAGCGAAACCCACCTAATGCAGACGACACTTAGGAGGCTGGGAACAGGGAGCGTGAGTGTGAGGACCGGGTCCTGCTGTGTGAGTGCAGGTGGTGTTTCCTCAAGGACGGGTGCTGAGTGCAGCCTCAGTCTGGAGACTCAGCACATAAAGGGAGCCCGCTGGTTTGCCTGCTCGTTTTTTAAAAAATTTTTATTGATTAAGTTATTACCATTTGTGTCTTTATCCCCATGTTACCCCCCTCTACCTCCCACTTATGCCCTCAACTCCCTGTTTTCTGTGTCCATTGGTTAGGCCTATATGCCTGTATATAAGTCCTTTGGTTCATCTCTCCGCCCCTACCTTCCTTCTGAGGTTTCACGGTCTGATTGATGCTTCTCTGTCTCTGGAACTGTTTTCATTCATCAGTTTATGTTGTTCATTATATTCCATAAATGAGTGAGATCATGGGGTATTTATCTTTCTCTGACTAGTTTATTTCAGTTAGCATAATGCTCTCCAGCTCCATCCATGCTGTTGGAAATGGTAAGAATTCCTTCCTTTTTACAGCAGCATAGTATTCCGTTGTGTAGATGTGCCAAAGTTTTTTAATCCACTCACCAGCTGATAGGCACTTAGGCTGATTCCAAATCTTAGCTATTGTAAATTGTGCTACTATGAACATAGGGGAGCATATATCCTTTCCGATTGGTGTTTCTGTTTTCTTGGGGTATATTCCTAGAAGTGAGATTACTGGGTCAAAGTAAATGTTGGAGATTAAACCCTTATCGGTGATAACATTGGCAAATATGTTCTCCCAAGCAGTGGGCTTTCTTGTTGTTTTGTTGATGGTTTCCTTTGCTGTACAGAAGCTTTTTATTTTGATGTAGACCCATTTGTTTATTTTCCCTTTAGTTTCCATTGCCCTAAGGGTAGTATCCTGCTCCTTAGTTCCCTCCTCTTAGAGAGCAAAACCCGGCCCCAGGCTCAATGGGATTTGGACGCCACCAGCTGGAAGCGCTGTGTAGACTCTCCATGTGGCCAGAGCTGGGCCAGAAAAGCCTGATGATGCCTCAGGGTCCAATATCGGTTGTTGAACAGAAATGAGAGTATTTACCATGAAATTCAGAAGGAGAATAAGTGAGGGAATATATGAAATTTGCACAGCAGACTCTGAAACACAGTGGGAGTAGAACAACTTTGATCTCTTTCTGAAACACAAAAGTGCAAAGATGAACAAATACAATTTACTACAATTTGTTTACAGTGGATAAGATATGGGCCAGCCAATAATAGGGATTTGGTCAACTAGATGATGTCCATTCATACAGTGGAATACAGTGGCAGCCACTGACCATCAAACATTGATTAACATGAAAAGTATTCACAGCTCGTTAAGAAAAACAGCAAAATCATTGAATTCTCCAATCACGTTGGTGAAGGGAGAGACACCAAAGCTCAATAGCATAAACCCCTGGCCCTTCTTCCCTGTCTTGTGTCCTCTCTTCCTCCCTGGCCTCCCCTGCAGTTCCTGATACTCCTGTGTCTGATTCCAGGGGAGAACTCTGAGGCTGGTTCCCCCACCGGCTTAGGGGAGGTGAAAAGAGAACTCCTGGTGGAAGTGGTGGGAAACTGCTCCTATAAGGTCATCAACCACTTGGACCACCTGTACAAACCACGGCCCATAGAGGAGATGCTCAGATCTGGGAAGGAGCTGGTTGGTAAGGAGATGGAGTACAGTGATCTGAGCAGGAACTGTGAGCGCTTTGTCACCGATCTGAGATACGGCAAGGCCCGCAGCCGGCAGGTAAGGCCTTCTCTGGGGGCTCCCTCTCCCTCTGGAGGTCTGCTTGGGGTGAGGGTAATGGGTCTGACTACCCAGAGAAAAATTCCTCTGAATGATGCAAACATGGGCTCTTGGGGTTCCACTGGCTGGGAGTTAGCTGTTGAGAGCAAAATTCAGGTCTGCTTCTAACCTACGCAGGGTTTTTGGACAGCACACTTTCTCTCTGGGCCTCAGTTTCCCCATGTGGAGAAGGAGGGGATGTTTGGAGAAACTCTGGGACTCTGGCCACCTCTATCCCTTTAGGATCCTTTGCCTCTAAGATCCACCCTAAAGGCAGCTCCTCAAGCCCCTGTGTGCTGTCAGGAAAAGTCTGGGCCAACCTGGGACCATGACACGTCAGCTAAGGCTCCAGGAAGCCCTCCAAGGGGCGATGCTCAAGGTCTGTGGCCTCTGTAAGGGTTCAAGAGGGTTCTTATGAGAAGACGTTGTCCAGCCAATTCCGGCGGAGTGTTCTTGGGCAAGTCTCCCTATCTCTCTAATCCTCACTGCCTATGTGAAGAAATGGGTGCTTTCTCCTCCTCTATCCAACCCAATAATGTAAGATCTGGGCACAGCTTTAACCCCTTCCTCCTTGCCCTTTTATCAACACAAGGTAGTAGGGATTCAAACCCCAGTGGTCCCTG